AGTTATTACTATTATGGTGGATACTGCAGCAGCAAGACATGCTTTTCTTTCCAAATTCCACAAGCTACTAGTATTAAAAGCCAAGCATTTAACGTTAGTGTTGCTATTGAGAAGGAAAAGTAAAGCATTTCACGAGAAACATATAATTGATACCATTACAGTAGTAGTACTTGCTCTAGTAGCTAAGAATTGGACCGTTGCGTGAGTGTGTGAAATGGACCTGGTGTTGGTTTTTTTGTAGGTGTTCCAGTTCGCTGACAGGCACCGGGGTGCGTACAGCTCCAGCCTGCGCTCTGCAGTTTGCCCTTTTTATTGTGATGTTAATGGGTACCAGGTAACTACTAATAACTTCCCTTCTTTTATTCTACTATAGAATTTCCTTGCTGCACTCGAGTTTCCGACCCCCAATGCATATATCCCTACGAGCACTACCATTAATCTCTACTTTTCTTGGCTTGCATTTTAAAAATTCAGAACTTCCTTAAATGTTTTGTCAGTGGGTGCGTAGGTATCCATTTGGACTGGTGGTGACTCAGTCCCCCCTCCTCCCCGATTTCTCCTTTGATTCCATTGGGTCACTCCCTCCCTCTCCCTATAGTATAGAGTAAGAGTAGGTCTATCATGTCCCAAAAAAGAAAAAAAAAAACTCTACTTCTGTAGTTAATAAATCAAGAATCCATATACTATTCATTATGTAATTAATTAACTAGATAATTTATTTGATATAGGAACATTTTTGGGAAGGAAAGAGGGTCTAATTAGCATTTCAACAATCATTTTTAAAATATGGAATTACTACTAATTCGATAGTTGCCCTAAAAAAAGATGTTTGTTTATCAATGAATGAGAATGTAGGATGAGTTGCTTTGGGGGGCGGCATGGTTACACAAGGCGTCAAGAAGGCGTGAATACAGGGAGTATATAGTAAGGAACGAGGTGATATTGAGGGCGGCAGACACAATTAATGAATTCGGATGGGATAACAAACACGCCGGGATTAACGTTCTCATTTCCAAGGTTAGTAGCATAATCTCTAATCTTTTGTTTTCCCACCCCCCACCTATTTCGGAAATTTAATTTAATCAAGTACCCATATGAGGAAACATCATGCTGTTTGTTTGTTGATTAATTATTGAAGCCTGCACTCATCATCAAATCTCTGTCTTTTTTTCTTTGTGGTTTTATAACTTTATTCTTCTTGTCTAGTGAATTTTGACCTATTATGCAAAAAAAAAAAAATTTATGCATCCCATCACAGGGTATAGAATCTATAGATATGGATGAGTGAACCACGATGAACATCTTTAGATTGGTGCTACAAAGAACAAAGGGTCCACTTGGCCTTAATGTTCAGTACCAGATCATACGGCGAAGGGTCATTTTTTTTTTTTTTTTGGATAATTGCACATGATGGCTTTGAGTGTTGTTGCTTTCACTTGGTGGCAGAAAACTTGGACATTCTTTTTTTTTTTTTTTACTTTAACAAAGTCTAAAAGGCAATTTCCTTTCCTTCGCAAGTGAACATATTAATGGAGTAGTATACAAATTGGCATGGCTCACTATTGCGAATTAATTGTAAATTTACCAATAAGGCGCAAAATTAGCCTGGAAATTGCTAGATACACGTAAGAAATATTGGGCTAATTAAAAGTGCTAATATATACTAAAGCACAAACAAAAAATGAATATTGAGAAGACAAAAAAAATAAATAAAAGAAAAAGGGGGTGCTACTACTATTTCTTACATTTAGGACCTAAGATTTGTGGGGGCATTGGGGATGGGATAAGTGAGTTGCTGCTGCTGCCATGCATGTGCAAAAAGGTCTGAGACAACAGTTCTTCCATACTGAGAGCTCTTCTTCTTATATGCTATGATGCATGATGATGAAGATGGCTTTTTATTCATGAATGCGACTTTCCTCATTGGAGGCTCAAGATTTGGGGCAGGATCGTAAATTTCGTTATTTAATGCTCTTTTCCTTTGGCCTTTTTTGAGTAGTAGGTTGTCAGTTGTCTCTTTACCCACTGCTTTTGGATTCTCCAAATGGGGTCAAGAACTCACATGACAGCATCCAATAATATAATAATATGAGTGGAACTCAACTCCTCCAAATTCATCATTTTTGCTCTCAGTATTTTTTTTTTCTTGGGTTTTATTATATTATGAAGATTATTAAGTTATAATTAGACTATAATTCAACTTAATCATGTGTGAAATGGCTAATGTGACAGGAAGTGCTGATGGGCAAAGCAGATGATCTGCAATCCTTCAGGAGAAATGCAGATGGTTTCATCTGTTCTATATTGCCTGGAATTTCTCATCCTCAAGTCCAGTATTCTCCAGGTATACTATTCTACACTTACCCAAAAAAAAAAAATTTCAGATGAAAATTTCTTTCAGTTGATCTTTTAGACATAGAAGATAACAATTTGAAGATTTTATTTTCTTACATCTTTCTTTTTTCTCTTTTTTTAAAATTTTTTTTTTTTCTGGGTGTAAAAAGGTGGACTGATTGTCAAAGCTGGAGTGTGCAACATGCAGCATGTAACATCCCTATCTTTCCTGCTCTTAGCTTACTCTAATTATCTAAGCCACGCCAATAAGGCCGTGCCATGTGGCGAGACGTTGGCTTCCCCTTCTCTCCTCAAAAACTTAGCCAAACGTCAGGTAAATAATAAACTCAACTCACGTATAATACTTGTACAATACACGTTCGTTCGTACGTATATCATCATTTGTGATTCAAGATTCAGTACATGTTTTAATCGAAGCTTAAATCTCAACTTGTATGGTTGAGGTGTAAGAAAATTGGCACTTGAAAGTTGAAAGAAAAACATGGAAAGAGTAGCTTTCCTTAATTAGAAAAGTTGGACCTATTTTATTTCTATCGATTTCATTTGTTATATTGTTGGACCACTTGCCCCAGCAAGACGATTATAACGGCTACTCGCCTTTGTTTTTATTTAATTAAGCTCTTGGATTTGGATGGATGATATTTATGGATCTTGTTGCAACATGTAAGATGGTCTATAGTAGTAGCCTTCTTCATGATATATGTCAAGAACCATAATCATTTTGAGAATTTCCTTTGGGTCCACCCAAATAATTGAAAATTTAGTTAAAAAAAAAATTAATTTCCTTTGGCTCAAAGAAAAATTATTTGAGCCAACGTCTGTGACCTTATCTTATTCCCTCTATTTTTATTTTTTATTTTTTTTTTTTATGTAACTGATTTTTTTCAATTATTATAAATTTTTGCCAAATTGCTTGGGCTACCAGGTTGACTATATTCTTGGGGATAATCCAATGGGAATGTCGTACATGGTGGGGTACGGAGAACATTATCCGCAGAGGATTCATCATCGGGCTAGTTCGTTACCATCAGTTCGGGTCCACCCGGCCCACATTGGCTGCAAAGAAGGGTCGAGGTACTTCCTAAGTCCAGATCCAAATCCTAACCCTCTGGTAGGTGCTGTAGTTGGTGGACCCAACACCACTGATGCGTTCCCTGACTCTAGGCCCTTTTTTCAGGAGTCTGAGCCCACCACTTATGTCAATGCCCCATTAGTGGGCCTGTTGGCCTACTTTTCAACCCATCCATGATTTACGCTCCGTGATGTGAAGAGAGAATGTAGTGGTGTGCAAAGGCCACCCTCTCTATTATTATCAATTATTATTGTTATTATCATTACTAAAGTTCCTAATTGTATCATTTCAATTAATGAAAGTAAAGTAGTTTTTTTTTTTTTTTATGAAATTCGCTTTTGCCGTTTCTTTTTTTTTTTGGTGACTTTTTCGGAAAATTAGGCATTAAAATTTTATAAGCAATTTAAGATCAGTCTTCAAATTTGTCAAGAAAAGGATTCAATAGCTTAAGTTATAATATGGTAACATTTCACTTTAGCCTACAATTATAGGGCTTTCCATCTGTTACATTGTTTTGTTTTAGATTATTCTTTTTTTTTTTTTTAATTTTCTTTCTTCTTAATATGCCTGCTCTAAAAATTCTTAATTGATCACTCATCTCATGAATTACATACATAATTCTTAGAAAAGGAACACTTTTATAGGGGAAAAAAAATGAAACCGGACCAAAATTGAAAGACACTTTGATTAAATGTAACACTTTAGAAAAATAAAATTACATGAAGACGCCAAAGTAAAGGACTCTTTGGTTTAAACAGAAACCTTTCCAAAGTAAGAAAGGATATAACTATTCTTCTCGATATTTTCCAGAAGAGTAAAATGTTGTCTGTTCTTGCCGTTCAATTTGTTATCATTTTACATGCAATCCTTCACTGTCATGCCTCCATAGAGAAAGTAAATTATATACAATAATGCCGCAGATTATACGAGAGGCACGTAAAATGTTGCTCGAATAGGGCTGAATACCTCTCTATCATTTCATAGCCGTGGTACACTTTTTGTTGTAAAGATTGATTGTCCAAAAGTGAATGCTGGCCAGGGTCCAAAGACTTTGTTGTTTATGATTGAGAACAAAGCTTTTGATTAGCTCGATCAAAGTTTTCAATAAACATACCTCAATTGTGGGGCACCCTACGGCAATCGCATCATGCATATTTTTGTTCCTTTTACAAATACATATACATGCATACATACATAAATATGTGTATACATATATATAATTTCCTCCCTTGTATACTTGCATTGACGGGGGACAATAAACAATAGTTTTAATTCAGTGCCACCAAGTGTTATTGAATTTTTCCAACAATATAAAATGATAAAAACACCATTTATTTCATTTGAACTATAAGCGAAGTTAAAATGTGATCTATAAAATGATAAACGTACTTTTGTCGTTTGAATTGATTAATTATTCAACGTAGTGCAATTAAGCAGGAGAGTCTTAATATCATCACTTCCGACAATTCAAATAGAGACAACCTCGGTAAGTACAATATTAAACAAGGTTGGAACTGTTTCCTGTAGATAAATTCTTTTTCTATTTATATTACCTATGATTTGTTCAATTAGCTTTCCGCTTGACAGATTGATTCTGTCTATATTATCCCCATCAAAGTAAGCAGCTTGTGCAAACTTCACTCTTGATTAACATATCGAGGTCCCTCTTGTGTGTCAATACAATCTTTTAACGGCTCAATCTAAGATTTCCTATTCACTATGGGAATTTTTCCAAGTATTGGAAATTCGAACGAGTGGTCTACTGGCCTCTGTGATTGTACCAAAGATTGCCGTTCCTGTAAGTTATCAGAATTCATGCGCTGTATATAAGTACCATTTAAAGGTTTTCAATTGTCTTCGTTGATTTCTCATAGTGCAATTCACAGTTCATCAACATTTCCTGTCCTGATTAATATCGTTCGTTATTTGACAGGCTGCCTTACTTGCTGGTGCCCTTGTGTTGCCTTCGGGAGAAATGCTGAGATTGTGGATAAAGGCCAAAATTGTAAGTAGAAACAAGAACGGTTTTAGTGTTCCAATTCAACAGCAATCAAGCTATGAGATATGAAATGCATCGATGAAAAGAATTTGTTCTTTTTTTTTTTTTTGCCTTTACTTTTTTCAGCTTGCTGCCTGATGGGGTGCATTTTCTATTTGCTGAATCTCACATGTCATTATGCTGGTTGTTCGTGGATTATTAGCATGGGCTATCGCAGTAAGCTGAGGAAGCAATTCGGTATTAAGGGAGGGTCATGCCAGGATTGTCTCATTCATTTCTGTTGCCAGTCTTGTGCCTTGTGCCAAGAGTACCGTGAACTTGAGTCCCAGGGATTTGATGTTTCTGCTGGTAAGAACTTCACTGATCAACCATGTCATTTTTTCCATTTGGAGTGTGCATTTGTACCTGTTTCGTGAAAATATATGCATCATTATTTGGTCATATTAAAAGGAAAATGTTAACGGCACTCTCTTTTTTGTTATTTACACCTCCACTATATCATCTTTTTTATTCAGAGACTATAACGCCTCTGCCTTCATTTTTTTTTTTTTGGCCCGTTGATTGATTGATCTCACTAAAACACTCCTCTTGACAAATTGAGATGATCATTATATTCTAGTCAAGCACATTTACCTCATATTCTTTTCTATAAAAGTATCTAGGGTTTTCTAAAATCAACCATAGAAAACAATTCTCTAGAAGAAGGTATTGATGAAATGAATATGATATGCAACTTGATTAAGTCTAACAATATTGTAGAAATTTTCTCTTTTTATTCCACAAGTAATTTGCAAGACCATAAGCCATTTTTAATCTCCATATTCTGAATTTTAGGGTTTAGTGTAAGTTTATTGTTTTTTCCTCTTTTTTTTTCTTTGCAAAGTGTTTTTTTTTTTTTTTTGGTATAAGATGTAATCTTGAAACGTTTGTGGGTTCACCCCCTTCTTCATTTTGGTATGCTCAGCGTGTGCTTTGAGGCAAACAACAAAAATGCTCCCAATTTGTTCAATCTACATTCATTTTTTTTTCCTTTTTTTAAAAGAAAATTGTGTCTTGAATTGGGGTACATGTTGCATCAACTGATCAGTATAAAATCTCTATATTGGTTCGTACGGTCAAGACATAATCAGAACTTAATCTCCAATTCCAATTTCAGATTCAATATTTTTATAAAGCATTCTCCATGATGTACTGTGGTTTCCAGGTTGGGATGGAAATACCTCCAAAAAGATCGCTAATTGGATGACTTTGGCTCCAGTTTGGCAAAGCATGAAACGTTAGCTCGAAGAATCTACTCATCTGCAACTACATTTCATTTGCACCTTCGAAAACATCAATGTTCTGATAGTTTTTCTGGTTGATTTTCTCTTTGTAATAATCTAATATATACCTAAATTGATTCTTAAAATAAATGACAAAATGTAGGGTTCTACTCATCAGAAATAATCTCATCAGCTTTCAAGTTCACAAAGACAATTTTATGGAACAATGGATCCCAACTTTAATACTACTTTGAAATGCAAAACGGGGATTATTTCAATTTTTAACTACCAGCTGGGCTGTTTTTTTTTTCTTTCCCTAGATGAAGTATGAATTGTAAATCTTCAGGCCGGCAACACATGCAGAATTTGAATTTTAAATTCTAATTCAGATTAAATATTGTATATCTAACGGAGATAATGTAAATAGTATCAGTATATAAAAGATTAACTCAACTTTTAATAATAAAAGAGACGATCACAAGCAACATTTGCTGCACTGATGCATCATCAAAGGGATCCAAAACAAAACTAAATAGATTACAACTCCGAGTATACAGCAAATAAAAAAGACATTACATCACATCTCATGAAAAAACTGCAAAAATTTTCTTATCAAGATTCCAGTCCAATCTGAAGTTCCAATTCTCTCTCGAACGTGGCACCTTTTTCATCAGCTTAGTCAAAGGACAAATCATTGTGACCTTACACCCTCTTCTATTTTCTTGATGTATATATAACTCTGTTCTAAAGTTCGAGGGACACTGCAAACTTTAAATATGTCTAATTTCTTGTCAATTTTTTTTTTCATTACTTGGGCTACCAGGTTGACGACATTCTTAGGCATGCTCCAGTGAGACCGTCGAACATGGTGCATATTATCCACAGAGACTTCGCCATCGGGTTACATCAATTCCATCAGTTCTGCCACATCCGGCCCACATTGTGGGAAAAGTAGTGTCCAGGTACTTTTTTAAGTCCTGATCCAAAACAATACCATCTGCTAGGAGATGTAGTTGCTGCGCCCCACTCTATTGAAGGCTTCCCTCAGTCTAGGCCTCTCAGTGCCGTTTTAGTAGACCTATTGGCCTACTTTTCAACCCATCCATGATTATAATCCAGAAATCAGACTGTGAGGAGAAAATGTACGTGGTGTAGTAAGGATCACCTAGAATTACAAACGAATCAAACTAGGAGTTCCTAGATCTCCTACATACTCTTCAATAACAGAGAATCGTCCTCAACTTGATGAGTTAAGTGTGATTTCTTTGGACAAACAAAATATCAGAACAGAATTTTATGCTGACAACAATTAGAAAAAGGCTGGCTCAAACGGAAAAGCTGGCTCAATCGGAACAAAATTCAGAAAAAATCATTTTTACTGTAACACCGGAAGCACTGTAGCAATCCGGCAAGTTACTATGCAAACACGGCAACAAAAGACAAACGTTGCACTGTAGCGCGCGCTGTAGCAGTACTGTAGCGACACTGTAGCAAACCACTGTAGCCTTGCGAGTTAATTCAGTTAAAACTTGATTCAACTTTGATCAACATCGAACTCGAACTCGAGTTCGAGCATAGAAAAACTTATGTCATTAGCTCGCGAGTTGTTCGATTATATATATATAGTGAATTATATATATTTCTAATATTTTATTATATATTAAAAAATTACTATTTTATTTATTTTTTAAAAATAAAATAATAATTTTTTATTTTTTAAACTCAAATAGGCTCGAGCTCGAGTTAGACTCGACTCAAATTTGAGGTCGAGCTCGAGCTCGAACTTTATGTTAAGAGCTCATTGAGCTCAAGTTCGATGGTAAAATTGAGTCGAAACTCAGCTCGACTCTATTCGTTTATAATTCTGGGCCACCCTCTCAATTATCATTTTATCATTACTACCAATTATCATTTATCATTATTACTAATTATTTTTTCTGAATACCTTTCTATGACTATTAATATAGTTACTAATTCTTTCAAATTTGTTTTTACTTTTTTATATTTTTCTGAAATTTTTGATCGTTTTGGAAAGTTAAGCATTAACCTAAACATTGCAATGTTATAAGCAATTTATGATTAGCCTTCGAATTTGTTCAGAAAGGATTGAATAGCTGAAATGAAAAATGGTTATTCACTATAACTTACAAATCTTGATCAAAGTGCGACTTCACAGGCAGAATTTCATGAGGACCCAAAACACTAATCTATAAAACCGCTTGTCATTTAATCATAGATTTTTGCTACTGGGGACAAATGCATAGCATATTATTGGAAGGGGAAAAAAGTTCCATTGACCCTCCAACTTTTGTCTGGATGAACTTTTAACCCTCCAATAATTAAAGGTAAACTTTTAGTCTCCAATTTATAAAAAATTGTCAAATGTTGGTCCTTTTGTCAATTCCAATAGTCAAGAATAATGGAAAAACATCATCACGTGCGATTCACGAGGGATTAGTAAGGGCATTCTTTTCTTGTCCACCCAGTAGTATTTATGGAGTAAAAGGCAGCCAACCTCTTTTACTCCATGGAAGATGATTTACCCGCAGTAGAGAAAGACCATCTCCATTGCAGCCCACAAAGATGGGATACAACGCATTGCAACCTCCACAACCAGGGGAATAAAAGTCAACTATAACCAATCTATCACCGGCATTTATCAATGAATCCACAAGTTCTTGTGCAAAATGGATCTCAATCATGTTGGCCTTAAGAGTCTTCTCTCACAATCTCAAAGCTCTGCTAACACTAATTGATGCTTGTGCCTAAATATATTCATCAAAAATTTTAGCAAAGTATGTAACTTTGAAGCCACACATAAATATTTAAAGTAAAAAAAATTTTAAAAATGGTCAGGAACATGATTCATACCTTAACATAAAAAGTAGTTGAATTTGGACTGAATAATCCATTCGTTTCCTTGTGAAATCATTTAATTTTAAATCTGAAAACTGGAGAGCCCTAACAAATGAAGAAACCCCTAAAGACACCTTGGCTTTACGACCAAGAAGGGTATCACTTGAACCAAAAGCACACAAACGAGTCTTCAAACAACAAGCCATTTGTTATACCTCCTAAACAAATATTTCAAGCTTATAACATCAAAAGATTGAAAACCTAGAAAAACCCACTTCTTGTTTTGGATCAAGAACTAATCTTTCTATCTAATGGATATGAAATTCCAAGAAAGTTACCTCCTTTGTTGCTCAAATTCCAAACTCGTAGCTTTGTACCTAGAAAGAAACCCAAAAAAAAAAGGAAAAAACAAATCCTTTGTTTGACAATTTATTTAGTTTTTATGGTTTAGACTTGAAGAGATATGATGAGGCTTAAAGGAGGAAGAGGGAGCAAGAAAGCAAAGGTGAAGGGGGTAATAAACAACTCAAATAATAGAAAGGGAAAAAGGGCTATGATGATGCTTGCTGATCTTGAACACTGTTCAATTTTCTTGTCCGAGAGATTGGGAAGTAAATTTCTTCCATGTTTGAAGTAAAGAAAAGGGGCTGTAAGATGCTCCTTCAATTATGGTTTTTTACGGCCTTTCACTCAATGAATTATCGTGAATGGACGAGAATGCCCTTATTAATTCCTCGTGATTACGCGTAATGTTGTGCTCCGTCATTCTTAACTGTTGGAATTGATAGAAGAACGAACATTTGGCACTTTCAATAGATTGGAGGCAAAATGTTTACTCCTAATTATTGAAGGACTAAAAGTTTACCTGTTGGGAGGGTTATTGGAACTTTTTTCCCTATTGGAAATGGTACAATTTATCAACCTATCACAACCTATGGGGGCCATACTTGCATGTGGGTTTATACGATTTTTATTTTCCTTTCTATTCATATAAAAATATGGCCATTACCTGGAATTTCTTGTTGATTCCATTTTCTAGTTCTCTATTGTGGTCCCTTTTTCTTAGTTCCCAAGAATATGTCCAAAAATTCTGGATTGACATATATCAAGAAGGTAATTTGAGATACAATTTTGTGTTGCTATCTCTGTGGTTTGGATCAACCTAAAACTGGAACCAATCTGACAGCAAGTTACTACTTCTCTCCGAGAGCCAATTTTTTCTTTTTCTTTCATTCTTGGTGAGCGGATTAAGTCATAAGTCATGAAAATTTGGTAGTGGAAAAAGTGAAATCCGACCTGCCGGATTCGAACCAGCGACCTAAGGATTGCTATGTAACAACTACAGTCCTCCGCTCTGCCAACTGAGCTAAGGTCGGCTGCTTTCGTTGTCATAATCACCAACCTAATATTTCCGAAAACAGTTTTGGTTGGTAATTTAAGTGCTTCTGAATTTCTGATCATACCAATGATTTCAACAATGAGTGCGGGCTTTAACCATACACCTTCAGTTTACAAGACTGATGCTCCGGAAAGCTTCGGCCTTTTTGGGAATACTGCATTTTTTTTTTCCTTTTTTGTTGTAAGATTATGAGAGAAACTCATAATAATAGGAGTAATACAATGAACAATTTAAGTCATAAATGATGAGAATTACAATTCAATAATACTAAAGTAACCTATAAATAATAGGAGGAGAAATTCATAGTTGTTTGAAATCTCAATTTTAATCATTAAAACAAGACTTATCGACAAAACATTGAAATTTTCCCTTTCATTTTCTTTAATTTAATTAATTTTTTAATTTTAAATTTCCTTTTGTTCTTAATATGTATGCGCTCAATATTGTACAATTATCACACCTCCAAAATTATTTATACTTTTCTCAAAAAAAAAAAATAGTTTGATGCAAAAAGAAATACCATGAAACCCACCAAAATAGGGCTCTTTCCTAAGACCACCCCTACATTCCCAAGTAAGGGGCGGATTACCTATTGTCTGGGGTGTTTTTCAATAACTTTACTATAATGATGTATAAAAAAAAATTTTACAGCAAATGATTAGATGTTTTCAGGAGGTATTATTGAGAATATATTTTGAGATATTTTTAAAAATTAAAATTTTAGTGGAATGTTTTTAAAAATTTAGAAAACTTCATCACCACCCATCATCACCATTACCCATCACCGCCACAACTCCTCCCCCTCCCTCCCTCCCTCCTCCTCCTCTCTCCTCCCTTG